CTGATTTTACAAATATGAGCTCTCCATGAGGGTCACTTGCGTTTGTATCTTTTTAAAAATACAAATGGGTAAAAGGGCATTTTAATTTTAAGCCAAATGTATGCATCCAGCTTTATTTGCTGTATTTATTTTTTTTTTAAAAAAAAATCATTGACTGCGCTTGTGAGATTGATATATGCAAAATCCAAATGCAATTTGGTTCTTCCTTGAGATTTCTGTGGGAGGAGAATCACTAACCAAGTTCCTCACCAACAGATCCTGACAGGATGCCCAAAATGTTAGTTTTTTTGCGCTGAGACATACTGTAGGAGCAATGTACTTGCACAACAACAGCAATGAAAACACTGTATTTGTTTGTCTCCCTATTAAATCCCATGAAATAGTCTGCCTTCATACAGGCAGATTTAGTCTCTGGAATCAATCTGAGGTCCCAGGAAGTTACCCTGGATTTGTAAATGGGCTTTGCCTGTCTTTCTGGTAAATTCTTTCTTTAATTTATGTATGGTACAGAATGAAGCAAATAAATATTAGGGTGAATTAAATGTAGGGATATGTTAATTTGAACCAGTTTGGGGGGGGGGGCAGAGAAAAGTGCATGCAGTTAACCACAATATGATTTTTAAACATGAAGTGACTTTGAAGGCAGGTAAAGGTGTTTGTGTATGTCTGTTTATATACACTAAATCACTAAATGTGTGTTTATTTGTGCCTAAATTTGTACATTGCAAGCAAATACTTTGTACTGCTGCTACTGTGCATTAATTATGTTGTGTGTGATGGTGCTGTACCTCAATCATGTACTTTACTGGATATTTTATTCAATAAAGTCTATTTTTTACTCTATTCTAGGGGTTTCCCTATGACTTTATTATTCTGAAATGCAGGACTTTATAGTATGTGGCTTATTGGCTTACTTGGAATCAGAATAAAACAGCAATAAAATTTATCAGCCATTTCCCTATGCAGTGCCTGTATAGCCCATTAGCTGAACAAAATTAAAACAGAGATGATCATTAACTTAGCTTTCCCAGATTTACAACAATATGTTCTTAAAACAATGGCTGTGATCCAGTGGCTTACATCGTCTGGATCTTGTTCCTTTCCCCAATCCAAATTGACAATCCCCCTCCTGCCTACATCTCCCATGAACCCTAAGAAACTCTGGACTAGTTTTTTTAACCTCTGGGAAGTTCTTTTGAATAGTTTATTTGAAAAAACAAAACAAAAAAAAACCCAGAGGGCTGCATCAAGAGGAGGATGATAAGGAAGGTCTGATCCCACTGGCCCTGGATACCAAAGAAAACCAATGTATTTATGTACATGAATAGCTGTTGCCTTAACTCTTCATGAACATGATGCTTCAGTGATTCATATTCATTGACTCTGTCCAAATCAAGTCTGGAAAACCTAGGACCCTCCAAATATTGATGGGCTATATTTGCATCATGACTCCTCCAGTGGTGTCACAAAGGTTAGTGTCACCTTGTGTAGTAACTCATGGTGTTGGCCCCCCTCCATGACTTCCTCCCCTACAACACCATACAGAATCTTCAGTCATGTTTTTTGTAGTAGTGTTACTCATTAATCGTAATTTCCGTATGTTACTGAATGTAATGGTAATAGTTGTGACATAAAGAACTAGCAAAATTAAAATTACCTTTACATTACAATAGCATATGCACAGCCTAAATGTAGTTACATCTACATAGTTTCATGAGGTTAAAATGAAAATTTGGTAAGATTTGATGTTTTTAAAGAAAATTTTAAAAGAAAAAAATCTATTTAAAAAAAATTAAATTTAAAATTTTAACTTTTTTTTAAACTTGGGGCCTCTCCTTTCTCCTCCACTGAGTCTCACCCCACTCACACCATCTCTTTAGCATTTTAAAGGGATGCAGGCAAACACTACAGTCTGTTTGTGCCAAAAGGCAGATGTTTGGGGAGTAGCGGTGTCCCACTATTGTGATCCCACTGCACTCCTCACTGTTTGGTGTGCTGGCTATGGCTGATAAAGGGTTACTGTCCAACAGCAGTTTTAGGACTATATTTTGCACACCCTGAGATAGAAGGAAAAGTTAACATCCTGTCCTATGCTAAACCTATTATTTCTTCTACCTCCTATCTCTTCAAAGGTTTCATGTTGTGATGAGTAGTTCATTAAGGTAAGTGGTCAGTGCCAATCCTCTCACTATCATTGTCTTATTTGTCACTTTGTAGCCATATAATTGGTATCCTTCACTTGAACCACTTCACAGATGATCTCAGTCGCTCCACTGAGCTATCCAAATCCCCAAGTGACTTCCTCTTCTTTAGTCAATTTACTCCAAATGCAATTTTTGAACTCTTTCTGCCTTGAGATGCTTTATCCTAGATGCAAGTGACCAAGAGAGTGGATTTGCTAAGGGGAATCGGCCTCAGGAGAAGAGTGGGATTATAGCCAAGCAAGAAAATGGGGGTGAAAAGAAAGGGAATCTTTCTTTGTGATTTCTTTTGGAAAGTTCTTTTTCCTGGTAACCATTTCTACATATATCTGGGCATGAAAGTTCTTTTTGCAATTGTGTATGTTCCAAGTAATAATTGCCATACAATGAGGTACATTAAATTGGGGCGGGAAGTTAAATCTTTGAAATTTAATTTATATTATATCTCCTTATTGAACCTTTTAAAAAGGGTTATCCTCATTTGAAAAACATGCATGTTGGGGCAGAGTTTGAGAAGTGACGTGGAAGCCAGCGTTGCTCAAACTTTTGGCTTGGGAAATGTGGCATCACTACCATAGCTCATTTGATCACTTACATCACAAAACAGGGCTGTGAAATGTAATGTGAGTTGTGTCATGACATGATGTCCAGAGGCAGGTGATCCTTAATTGGCTGTTGCCTAAACATGTCTCACATTCAGGAGAGGGGGCTGCAACTAAAGTCTGGGATCAACCTTTCCTTGATCTCCCATTTAGAATGCAAAACACGGCATCAGTAGTAGCTAATAGTATATGAAATTAGAAGATGGACGGACTGCAAATTGAAAACTCAATTTGGAAATCAGCACATTAGCACTGATGTGGAGCAGAATCGTTCAGATGCGGGGGTGATCAGACAGGATCTGCATCTTCCATCAGAATGAGTGAATTTCCCTGGCAAACAATGACAGCTCCCTATTTAAGACTTGGCAGACTTTAAGAAATTTTAACAGAATGGTTTTTACCCAGGGAATGTATTGGGCAGGGGTGGAAGAATGGGAAGCTAAATTAAGACATTACCCTTCAAAGTGAGATTATTTGTTACACCATGGGAATTCATAGTGTTTGTAAGAATTTATAGTGTTCCTCATCCTGGCATTCTCCAGGCAAGTTGAACTTCAACCATATGGAAAACATCAGCGTAGGGAAGGTTGATATTTTAGTAACAGTACTTACTAAATACTACCAGTCTTACTTATGCTTGTATAGCCATTGAAATCAGTAGGGTAACAGAGTCAAGAGACACTTAAGTCCCATTGATTTCAATGTATCTTCTCTTAACATGGTGAAGTCCAGATGCAGCTCTGTATGTTTTAAGGTGATTTTCATTTCCATTATCTCTATTTTAATTGTTTTTCCTATTTGCCCTGGAAATAATTACTATAGTAAATATGGGAACCAGTGTGGCATAGTTTGAGTATTTGACTATGACTGTGGAGATCAGGATTCAGTTCTCACTTTGGCCATGAAAACCCACTGGGTGATCTTGGGCAAGAAACACACACTCAGCCTCAGAAAATCCTATGATAGGTTAGGGGTTGCGTCAATATAAATAGAGAGCATCTTAAAGATACACAACAAGGACGCTTCTCAAAAAGTTAGTTTGCTTTAGACCCACTGAGGGAAGAATCTTATGAGATGCCCTCTGGCCAGCTACTTTCTCTCAGCCTAGCCTACCACATAAAGTTGTTCTGATTAAAAGATGGAACAACCTTATGCTCCTTGAGAGGGAAGAATGGAATTTGGGATATAAATATAGAATGCAGGAAAAAAATTGATTCAGCTGCTTGAGGCATTTCCTTTCCGCATCTTTAGGACATGAGAAAAACTCCAGTTGGTTTCTAGCTGGGATTTTTAGGAGTCAGCTGAAATCTTGCGTCTCTCAGTGTCTTTCTGTCTGTGTTCTTCGGGAGGCTGAAAGCTGATCTTGGCACCCTAATGAAGCAAGCAAGCGTCCTCACAAAATATGCTTTCCCCACAGTCTTCCCAACCCTCTTCTGCCAAAGAATTAGCAGGTATATCAGTTTTTATGTCCAGCACGGGGTTCTTCCCTTCCTCTGTCTGCCTTCACTGCTCAAACCTGTGCTAAAATGGAATAATAACAAACTTGTAGAGCTATTAGTTTATATGACAAAAAATGTGGCACTTTTCCTCAAGGGGCTAGTTTAAGTGATGCTACATTTTCCCAGTAATGCCCAAACAACAATATATTATCACTTGGGAAACAGGCATTCTTTCTTCTAGCAAATATCCATCACAATGATGACATAATATATAGGGCTGGAGGAAAAATCCAAGATTACAACTAACTCTACCCTGTAGGCAATCTTGACTCTCTGATGGATGTCTCCATTTAATATATATTACTCTCCGGCATCTTCATTGACTGGGGTGAGGTCACAAGCAAGTTTATTTTAGACTGCTTTTAACAAGCACTTGTTTCAGTGTACATGGGTGAATATAGTCTTCCTCATTTGAAATTATGATTTACAGCTCATGGGTTTCTATAATTTAGACTATATTATTCTTTATTAGTATGATTCTATTGCTATTTTATTCTTAACAAATTGTCCAAAAGCATTGCAGTTCCAGAGGTATATATAGTCCCTTCAGTGCATTCTTCATACACTTAATTTCTTAAAGTGTCCTGTGAGTGTGAGTTCTGTCTAAAATGTAATTATGGATGAGTATTCGGCTATCAGTAGCTGAGATCCTATTTAACACTAGTGAAGCGTAAAGCTCTGCTAGTATGCTTAAGTGAGCCAGCATGGTGTAGCGGTTTGAATGTTAGACTACAGCTCTGGAGATCAGGGTTCGATTGCCCCGCTCCAGCATACCCCCACCCCACTGGGTGACCATGAACAAGTCACACTCTCACAGCTTCAGAGGATGGCAATAGCAAACCCACTCTGAAGAAACTTACAAAACAACAACATCACCCTATGATAGGTTTGCCTTAGGGTCCACATAAGTCAAAAAGGACCTGGAGGCAAACAACAACAAAGTATACTTAAGCATGTGATGCTTAAGCCAAGAGGCTGAAGACTTGCAGACATTCTCCCAAAACAGCCCCTTTTCATGGTGAATCATTGGCTGTTCAGGATGGGGTGGGAAGCTCTGCACCAGTACTATCCATCAGCCATTTTGCAGTCATGGAAGATCTGTGTGCAACTTCAAGCAGAGCACTTATGCAGGTGTGACACCCAGTTATATCAGAATGAGTTACCAAAATGATTCTGAGTCCTCTCTCTCTCTCTCTCTCTCTCTCTCTCTCTCTCTGCCAAACTATGACTACACAAGTCTTGATTTTAAAATGTTTATGAAATGTAGATAAAGTACTGGATCCCACACTCATTTTTTTATCAAGTTTCAGACAAAGGATGGGGATCAGGTTACACCTGGGAGAAGAATAGTTTAATGGTAGAACACATGGGGCTAAATTGAACATCAGTTCACTGAAATGCATGTAGAATCTTGAAATGGATGGGAGATTGTTCGTCACAACGAAGAGCATATATGCACCATATGGTTTCAGTAATAATCCCATTTTAATTGTTCCAATTGAATCCAGTTCAATCAGAAGTTCCTCCTGACAGGGAAAGCTGTTCGACAGTGGAATACTCTCCCTCAGAGAGTGGTGGAGTCTCCTTCTTTGGAGGTCTTTAAACAGAGGCTGGATGGCCATCTGTCGGGGATGCTTTGATTTTGAGTTCCTGCATGGCAGGGGGTTGGACTGGATGGCCCTTGTGGTCTCTTCCAACTCTATCATTCTATTCTATTCTATTCTATTCTATTCTATTCTATTCTATTCTATTCTATTCTGTTCTGTTCTGTTCTGTTCTGTTCTGTTCTATTCTATAGAATCCTGAGATTTGTAGTCTGGTGAAGTAACTAAGAAATGCTACCAAGCTCTAGTCCATTCCCCTGAACTATAGCAATGAATTATATATGTTTCACCAAACTAGAGATCCCAGGGTTCCATTGGCTGGAGCCATGGCAGTTGAGGTGATGAAATATAGATACACTCTGTATAGTAAAGATCTTATTCTTACTGATTCCAAAAGGTCTACTACTCTAGGTAGAACCAATGTTGGAATTAGCTCATGTTGCATGTCAACATTTTCAGATCTAATCCTGTGTGGTTATAGGCAGGAGTGGAAACAACCCTTCTCTGAAACTCTGGAGAAGTCCTTTTGACAGTCAGCATGTGAAGACAATACTGAACTAAATGACCAAATGGTCTGACTTAGTTGAAATTAATCTCCCATGTTCCTTCCTTTAAAAAGCATGGCTGTCCCTTCTACCAGGCTGTACCATTTCACAAATAACAACCAGGCTTTTCAAATAATAAAATTCCATTCTGCTTTTACACACACAGTCTGTGCAATGCCAACTCTAAAGTGCAACCGAGTTCTGTTTATCAAAAACCATTGTGAATTGCAGTGAGATCACTCCACCTTCCTTGCTCCCATGGACACACCAACCCTATAGTCTCCCCACCCCCTCCATCCATTACATAGCAATGAAATAAACGTGGCTAGCAGAAGCATCAAGCCAAGGATTAAAAAAACAACAAACCACACACACCATGCTTTTAAAAAATGTGGAAAGGTATTCAAAGAGCAACCAATGCCTGATTACTAAGAAGTCAGTCCCAATGTAGAAAGACAGCATAGGCTAGTGGTTTGAGTTTTGGACTATGACTCTGGTGTCTGTGTGTGTGCTGTGCCTTCAAGTTGTTTCCAACCCATGGCAACCCTAAGGTGAACCTATCACAGGGTTTTCTTGGCATGTTTCTTCAGAGGAGGTTTGCGATTGCCATCCTCAGGTTGAGAGTGTGTGACTTGCCCAAGGTCATCCAGCAGGTTTTCATGGCCAAGCAGAGATTCAAACCCTGCTCTCCAGAGTCACAGTCCAATGCTCAAATTACTACACTACACTGGGTCTCTGACCAGAGTTTAAGACCCTGCTTGTCCATGAAAACCCACAGTCCTTTGGAACAAATCCCATTTGAACAAATCCTGCCAAGAAAACCCTGTGATGGGTTCTCCTCAGGGTACCATAAGTCAAAATTCACTTGAAGGCATACAACAAGAAGAATAACCACTGCATTCAGTTTAGTTTACTAACAGGTAATGATGGATAGGAAGAATTGTAGCCATAATAGTGCTAAGAATCTCAGAACTACCTTAAGGGGCATTAAGTTAATTGATGGGTGGTTGGTTTAAAACATACGCTTCTTGGAAAGATATGCTTATTCTCCATGCTTTCAAACTCAGTATTTCAATTCAGTTTTGACATCCCAAGCTACCAGTGGTTTCTGAAAAATGTTAATTTGTGTTGTCTAAGATTCCAAAGTCCTTCTTGGCTCCCAGTTAAACATTTGTTTTTAGCTGATGTTGGATATTTAGATAAGAATTTTCTGCCTTTCTGATGATCAAAGGATCCAGAGCCTAGTGCCAAATTCCCCCTAATGCCCTTGTTTGTATTGAAAATATTTTTAGTACCCAGATTGTGAAACAGCTGTGAGAATAAAGAAGGCTATTTTTTAATTGCAAAGAAAAACTTTCTTGACATGATAATTAATGTACTTTGTGCTAAAAGTGGGGTAATCATGGCATTTTCCTTCCAAGCTTCAAGGTCTTGCTGATTTTGGATAAACCTTCATGACAAACTCCATCAGCTACAATTTTTGCATTGCAGTTTGAGGAACAGGGGTTTTGCCCTCCTTTGCACCTGGTTATATTAATGGAAGGATAAGAATCATGCAGCCCTGATGTTGATGAATGGGAACCTAATTCTACATCATTAGGTTGCTAGGAGTTGCTATCCAACAACAACCATAGGGTTGCATGATTCTCATCCTTGCCATGATGCAAACCTCCAGTCCATGGTTTCCGTCAGTGGTAATCACTAAAGTCATGCCTTGAAACTGAGCTCCAATTTGCAGTCAGGGAAGGGGCGTTACATGGAACTAAGCACTGCAGAACATTGCCTTCCATGTTTAAAACAGGATTGCCTGGCCTGATATTGCTGCCACCCTTTATGGGTATGGACACTGTCAAAACCTATGGAAAGTAATGACAATATTGGCACTTCTGTGTCTATAAGGAATATTGATTTGTATGTGCATAAAATCCAAACTGTTCCAAAACTTCACCTCAATGTACTTTGTGTATTGCGACTTAACAACCTGATCTAGCTGATTTCTTCAGAAATGTAAACAGATGTTTTTACAATAGGCTCTCCTTTGCACACTTGCCTCCACCACCATCTTCTCTTTTGTTTTTTCCAACCCCAAGCTTGTTCATGAAGAGACCATGTGTAGCCAACAATTTGTTTTTAACTCATTAGGCATCTTGAATATTTTAAAAGAAATGTAAAGGCACAAATTGTGTTTTTGTTTTGTTTCTCACAGTGAAACAACAGCAACAGCAACAACAGTGCAGTTGTCAATGAGGCAAGGAAAGATGTAGGTGAAAGCAAACTTTTAAAAAATCACTCTAGGATCTCTTGCTGTTGGAACGAAAAGCAGGATACCACTGCACTTTTATTGTGTGGTGAGATATGTCTTCTCATCTTCTTGGAAAAGGAAGCCTGAGTAACCCTTGGGTGCTTTCAGATGGAATTACTAACAATCAATTGACACTGTGCAATCATTATGTCTTTTCCTCCTTAACAATTTTTTGTATAAAGAGGCAGTGGGACAACATGGGAGAGTTATGAGTTGAAGCCAATGCTCTCTCAGTCTATAAAAGCAAGGGCATAAAACAGGGTATTAGCACAGTAAAAGCTTCATCTGGAAGCATCCTGTATTGTTTGAAAGAATGGATTGCTTTCACATTTCAGATCAGCTGCCTGAAAGACCTGTATTACCTTATATAACTCTTCAAATGTTTGTAGCTAGAGTCACAATATGCATATTTCTATAATAATAATAATAATAATAATAATAATAATAATAATAATAATAATAATAATAATAACAACAACCACAACAACAAAATGTATTTATATACCGCCTTTGGTAATCCAATCAGGGCGGTTAACAGCATTAAAAACAATACAAAGGCAATATACTTCCTCCCTTAAAAATCCATTAAATCAATTGCATATTAAAACAACAGATTAAAATTACAACAACAATTAAAATATCCTATTACACTCTGATTCCACCCATGTAACTGCTAATATACCCATGGCTTTAATAGTGACACCGCAGTACATTTGGAGAATGAAATCCATGGAAGCTCATCCTAAAAATAAATCATTTAATCTTAAAAGTACTGCTAAATCCCCCTCCCCCTTTCCATTTTATGCTGAAACAGACAAACACAATGATATCTTTGAAAATTGCTAAAGATATGAAATAGAAACTTTGCCCTTTTTGGCTCTTCTGCCTCCCCAGAAACATGAAGGAGGGACTCACTGCAATCTTTATCTCAGAAATTACTGTGTATCAGTACCTTTTTGATTCACCCAAATCCTGGATTTCAAATCCTGACTAAGGTTGTTGTCTCATTTACACTTACCTGGAAGTAATACCCATTGCATTCAGTAGGCCTTATTTCTGATTCAATATGCACAAAATTGCACTATGAAATTAAGTCTATTTCATGGTATCCGATTGCTACCAGAAAAAACACTAGAATCTGGATTCTGAATGGCTGAATATTTGGGATAATTTAATTCACTGTAATGTTGATAGGTGAGGTTATAGTTTGTCTTTTGGCTACCTTCATTTTCTTATTTTTGCTGGCCATTTATGTCAATAGTATTCACATATGAGTCTTCTGGAAGTAGATGTTAAACACACTGAGATGCTCTCCGGAAA